ATTTTAACCATCTTCCTGGTCGAGGTGGGGTTCAAGGTGTTCGTGTATCGCCGCGAGTTCTTCCACCACAAGTTCGAGGTGCTGGACGGGGTGGTCGTGGTCGTGTCCTTCGTGCTCGACGTCGTCCTCATCTTCCGGGAGCACGAGTTCGAGGCCGTGGGGCTCCTGATCCTGCTGCGGCTCTGGAGGGTGGCCCGGATCATCAACGGTGGGTGAGGGGGTGTCCTGGGCCAGGGGGTGGGTTTGTCACCTCCCCTGAATTACCTGGGCTCGTGTCTTTGTTCTCTCCTCACACCCATCTGTGAGACCCCTGGTCCTGCTTTCCTGGTGAACTCGGAGTTCCACCCCTGTGGTTTTCCTTGCTGGAGTGTGGCCAGAGTCAGGCTGGAATTTCTTTGGAGCAGGGATAGACATTCCCCCTAAAAAACTTCATAATCTATTCCTCTTCACACCTCCTGGACCAGTTTCCCAGCACCACTGCCTGCCACACACTCTGGCTGTCCATCCTGGAGAAGGATGGCTCACATCCTAAGTTTCCACTGTAGGATCCTTCTGGCAATGTTTTAACAGGGGAGTCCCTGTCTTCCTGCATCTGCTCCTACAGCAGAATAGGATTTAATGCTCTGTTCTGCTGCTACTCCTCCATCCCCTCCAGGGATGCTGCAGGAAATGTCCTTGTCTCACCCTGGATCTTTCTTGCTCGGATTCAAAGGTTTTACCATAAAAAGAGAAATAGAAAAGAAAAAAAATAGAAATCAGACTTAAGTGACTTTGCTGTAGAAATTGTAAATTGTTGCAAATAGATGTTAATTCAGGGTATAGCTGGAAACACTTTCTTCCTTCTTGGGGAAGGAATTTCGGGATTCCAAAAAATGTAGCAATGAGATTATCTCTAATTCCTGCATGAAACCTCAGCCCAACTGCTGTCCTGTGCCTCCAGCTCAGGTTTGGTGAGTGCTCTGTATTTGGCACAGAGGGATCAGAGGAGGGGATGGCTGGGGCTGTGTGTTTTCAGCCCTCACTGCCCTTTGGATGGGGAGAACGTGCCTGGTCGGCAGCAGCCGGAGGGAGGGAGGATGTGAGAGCAGCTTGTGGCTTCTCTCAGTTCAGAGTGAAAGTCAGAGAGAAACTGGATTTGCCTGCAGCCCTGGGAGCCACGGGCTCTTACAGCAGAAAACAGGGTTGCTGTTACAAGAATATCCCCTTATCCTTGGCTGCTCCTGGTTTCCCCACCAGCTTTTTGCACTTGCTGGAGGAACAGAGGGAACAAAGGGAACGTGCCCCACGCTCGGGCGCCGTGTCTGTGCCTGGCACGGTTCAGTGCCCCTGGCAGGGACTGGGTTACACCAGCTGGGGACTGGTCGATGTTACCAATGCAAATAATGCTTTGTCCCCTGAGCAATGAACCCCAAAACCCCAAACCTGCTGCCTGGAGCATGAGAACCAGACACCCCGCGGTGCCGCCTGTGTGTTGTTCCGGAGGAGCCGTGTCGGGGAGGAGGAACAGGATGTTCTTCGTGCTCCCACAAGGATGATTTATTTTTTTCCCCCTCAGAAAAGGATGGCAAGAAAAAGCCTTTAGTGTGGGGGCTGAGTTCACATGTCATCACCTAATGGTGCTTGTAGAGAAGTGACACCTCTGCCGTGGTGAGACATAGCGTGTCCTTAGTGCAGCTGGGCAAGGTGAAGCCAAAACCTGGTGGATCTGAGGATGTGCCATGTCCTGATCCACTGGGATGTTCCATGTCCTGTTCCCCCAGGCCACAGCAATCAGCTCCAGGGCACGAGCCCCAGGCTGTGCCCTGCTGTCAGAGCAGGTCCTGACTACACCTAAAACCTGCTAAAACACGACAAAGCTTCCAGCTCCATCCCCCCCAGGCTCTGCCAAGGGAGTACATTCAAATTCAGGATTTGAGTGACAGTCTGAGTGATTAATTCAGCTCTGCCTCTTCCCAGCAGAGTATCCCTATCCGAATCCCTCGGGTGGCTGATTTAAAACCCTCCTCATTAAGAAAAGCACTTGGGAAGGGTGGTTGGAAGATGACAGAACCTAAACTGGAGAGGAACATGTTTAACTCCTTAAGGACAGACCCTGTGTCCTGTTAATTCTGCTTGTGGCTGTTTTACAATGTAAAGCAAATCCCCTGGGAATTGTTCCACAGGAATAATTTTATCGGTGAAGACCCGCTCGGAACAACAAGTGTCCAAGTTAAAACAAGCCAACCTGAAACTTGCAACAAGGCTGGAACAACTGGAACACAGCTGTGTAGAGAAGGTAAAAAGCCACTTTTAATTTGAGTTTACCTGCCTGGGATCCTTGTGCAAGGCTGGCACTGTTGGAATGGTTTCCTCACTGGAAAGTGTGGGGTGCCCTACCCAAGTTCCCTGAGCTGCTCCTCCTCCAACAAGTGGTGTTTCTCTCTGTCCTACTTCCTTTAGCCAGGTTGTCCTGCTTTCCTGCAGCAGTGGGAAGATCTGTGGGAACCTGGGGAGCTATTTTAAGGATATTAATGACTTAACTTTTTGTCTCCTACAGGAGCAAGAAATCGAGAGGCTGAACAACATCTTAAAGCGGCACGGACTCCTCAGCCAGCCAAAGTAGGAGGCCAGTTTTCCAAGGTGGGAATTCTGCCTGGAGAGTGCAGTGTTGGAATCCACCAGTTTGACCCGAAAGGTTTTTCTGTCTCTTTACTTCCTCTTGCATTATGTTGTCTATAAACATTTTCTATTTGACCACACTTTGATCAGACCTTGAGATTGCAAAAAGAGTTTTGCTGGAAAATTAATTACACGCAGTCCCTGTAAACAACAATTTTTTTCCCCTTTCTTGTACAGTTGTACAGTCAAAATTGCAAAATAATTTAATAAAGACACATCTTTACAAGCTACACACCCATAGAAGTACCACTTATTTAAAATAATTTCATTTTTTCTGTGATAACATTTTTTGTTTGCCACATCTTGTAGAACTTGCAGTAGAAATGATAAGAACTCAGGCTTGAAAAGAGAATTTCTCCTCCACCAGCTGACTGTTCATCATCAATACATCTCTTTGCCAACCATTCTTCTCATATTGTTGGTAGTTTCCTCATTTCTGTTGCTGCTTGTGCCACTTTGTTATTTATATAACAGTTGTTTCAAAACCACCAACAGGCCGCTCCTTCCCTTGACAATCAAATCAGCCCCAAAATAGAGACAAACATGTGCCACCCCACGTCAGACAGAGCCTTGTTCCACCAGCAGGTCCCAGGTCTGATACTGCATTTTCTCATCCCTTCTTCCCTTTTCAGTTCACTGGGCTACAAAGTTCTTTGTTTCCACAGCTCATAAATCAAGGTGTTAAAAGAACTGGAATGTGTCAGAACAGATGTAGGTGAGTGGAACTGCTGGGAACAGTCAGGCTCCAGAAAAGCCATTAAAAAGCAAATTCTAAAGGACCAGGCTGGTGTTCGAGCACAACATGAGCATTTGCAGGTACTGGAAGGTCCCTGTGGAGACACTATTTGATAGCTGGAGAGTCAGATTCGATGAGTGGGAATTCTGAAAGGTGTCTCCAATGGATTTAAGGCAGACTCAGCTGGAAGGGCCACTGAGCTTTGCTCAAAGCATAACTGAACTGTTCAGATTTTTAAAGAAAGGTAATTAATTAGTGGTGGTGGGGAAATAGCCAGAAATATGTGGCTTATTCATGTATGGGGGTAGATAAAGCAGAGGCCTTATCTAATAGCACATGATTGCTTTAATTAGCAATTTAACTCAGCTGTTATGGGATAATGAAGCCTGGTTTCCTTTGGAGCTGTGCTGGGTCCCTTCCCCTCCTGCCCCCACAGGCAGGGAGCTGGGAACAGATCTGATGTGCTGGAAGGCTGGTGGCTGCACATGTGCTGACCAGCAAGTTCATATCTGGACCCTTTTTCCTCTCGGTGAGTTATAATTTGGAACTTTCTACTTAATGTGGATTTTTTTAACCCTTCTGAGAACGTCACAAGGTCTCACCCCTTCTCTTTTGACCGATTTTAGCCCAGTTTATCTACAATTTAGATGAAACTCATGGCCCATCACAGTGACTTGATAAACCTTGGATGGAAAATCAGAAAAAGCAGAAATGTGGGGGGTTTTTTGATGAATGCTTACCTTAGACAAATGGGTAGAAAAAATCAAAGGGTAACTTGATGTTAATGGTGGGCCAAGCTTTATAGCCTGGCTCTGCAGGTGAGGAAATGTCAGTGAAAACAACAGAACTTGTTACAGGAATAGTCCTTTCCCTTCCTGAGGGAAGCTGCAATGAAAATACAAACAGGAATTAGCTTCAGCCTTCTGTTTGTATGGCTGGTTTATTTGGTCTGGGTTACATTTTCACCTGTCAGTTGTAAATTTTTTTTTCCATATACAGTCCCATGTTTCTTTTCATTAATGATGTATGGATTTTTATTGAAGGGTTTTGGCAAGCAGCCAGAGCTGTGTTTGAGCTGGAAGAGAATTGTTGGGTGGAATAAATGTGAAGTGCTGCCTTCAGATAAAGAGATTATCTGGGTCACTGGCACACAGGAAAACAAGCCCTTTGTTTTATCTTAAACCCTGTAATTTAATTACATACCTGCTTCAGTGTGGTGGTGGTGAGTGTTGCTGTAACATTCACTATCCTGGCTTGGGGATTGACCAGGGATCCATATTTAGTCCACTTCACTTCTATTCCAAAGGACACTGGAATTTGGCACGAGCTCTGCAAAGTGTTAGAAATCCTCTCATTGTCTGACTTACACAAAAGCCACTTCATTAATTAATTATTCTTGTTATTAGGGGGCAGGGTGACCCAGGAAGCTCTCTAGGGAGGCAGCAGAGGTGCTGCAGCCTTTGCTGCCCCTGCAGATTCTCCATAAAAGTGACTCTGTACCTGCATTTCAGCAGGACTGTCCTGCCTCAGGCAGGATTTGGCTCTTGGTGATTGTGCTCAGCTGGGACAAAGTAGGAATACTGGTGGGACAGCAGAAAATCCTGGACTCTGCCAGGGCAGAATTTTGAAGCCAACAAGCTGAACTATTTTTAGGCATTTCTTCTTGAACTGTCACGTTTCTGGTGACAGAAATTACTCACCCTTTGGTTGCAAAAGCATTCAAGGCACCTATACACAAAGTGTCATCTCCTATTGTGCTTCAAAGGATTCTTGTTCTCTTACCCTGACCTGGTGCAAGAGGAGAAACAGTGATTCTGTTACTTCACTCTTTCAACCTCACCTCTGATGCTTCATCCCCTCTGAAGAGTAGGACTAAACTATGGCTAGAAGTCATTTTGCACCCAATATGTTGTCCTGAGCCATAAGAGGGGTAGCAGCTTGATTCAAAATAAACCCTGTCTTCTACAGCCAGAGTGAAACTCCTCATTTGTGAATATTCCAGGAATTTCCTCCAGTTTTTTTATGCATTTTTTCCCTCCCATATTTTTTCTTCTAACTGGTTGCTGCATTTTTAGGCTGGGAAGGTTGAGCTGGTGCTGCATTACAGGTACAGAGGAGAGAGGACAGTGAGAGTGAAGGTGGAGGGTGGTGTGACTTTTCACCTGTTCTGAGATGTGGAGGTGAGTTATTGGCACCCAGTCAAGCACATCCTGGGCTTGGGAATTCCCAAATGAGGCCACATACTCAGGAAAGTTTTGGCCCTTCAGTACATCCAGGAGGGTCTGAGCCAAAGGCTGGCATTTCATAGCTGCTGTAATTCTTCCAGAAAACAAAACAAAACAAAAAAGAGATGAGTTACAGCAAAATCCATTGGTTTGGCACAGGCATCATTTCTCCTGCTCCCATGCTCTGTTCAAGCCTTCTGGCTACAGTTGCTAATGCCACAATCTTTTCAAGAGAAAGACCATTTTTAATTAAATGCCATTTTTTAGAATTAAATACTCCGTTCCCGATACTCCTCCAGCTGTAGGAACAGCCAGGACCTGAACAGAGCCTGAGGCAAAAGGCTGTCAGAGGGTTAAAAGCACTAAATTAAAAATAAAGATTAGTTCTTACCGTAACTTACAGCCTGAGATCATGTTATAACCAAATAACACGGGGGCTCTGGCTCCCTGTGCTGCCAGGCAGTCCTGGGTGGATGTGCTCTGCAGGATGGAGAGCTGGCTGTGTTTGTTGGTGCTCTGAGTGATGCCAGATGTAACACACAGTTAAAGGGAAACTCAGCACTTCATGTGTTTCAGGACAAAAAAAGAATCCTTAATCATATCCTTAAAATACATCTGAAAGTGCTGTAATAGCTCCAGACTCCTCTCACAGTGTGGAGCACCAGGGTGTGCAATGAAGGTCTAAATCCACTCACTACACAGTCCCAGGAGATTGCAGTCAGGACTGAGTCATTCCCTTCTAAAACACAGCCAGAAAACCACTCTTTTATACAGATATATTTTACAGATGTCCAGGCTAGAAAGGGTTTGTGAAGATGGACCAGAACAAGTGCTGCAAACAGAAATTCAGCAGGGAAAGGATATCCTTGAGGCCAGAATCCTGCTCTCACAGGCAGCCCGACAACGTAACCAGGATTGCCACTGAGAGGAACTGGCTTTGTGTCCACCTGCAATGCAAACACACAGGATTAGATCTTACCCTGCACTGAAAGGGCTGGAAAACACATAAATATTTCAGTTATTTTAGGATTATTTATTGCCTGGAATGATGAGTAGTAAGGCTGTAAGTCAGACTTTGCTTTCTCTGGATACAGAGCCACAAGATGGGGCTTGTAAATGTGACACTTTGGAGGCCTTTATTGCCCAGCTCTGAAATGCTGCCTCCTCTGTGTATCCACGGCAAGTCATACTTTACCTTGCTGCTCACAATTGTTCTGATTCAAGTTTAATAAGTTTTGTAATTAAATGTCTCTCAACAAGTCACCCATGACATCTCCACAGTTACCTGAGTGAAGCTGATTTGGAAGCTCTGCTGGATTGAAAGTGCTTCTTTGGTAATTGCCCCCAAGACAAAAGCAGCAGCTGCTTCTATTATTTCTCCTGTGTCTGTGTAGGTAATGTGATAACTCACCTGAAAATTAAGCATTTTAGATGTTCATTTGAATAAATGCATAAGAGAAACTAGGGGGGAAAAATGAAGCTAAAATTATTCAAGTGTTTTATTTCTTCCTTGCTTAAGAAACTCTGAACTACAGAGTGGGGATATATTATATCCTCTAGAGCTTCTTCAAAACTGACTTCTTTAAGCATAAACACAATGTTCATCTACTTAAGATTAAAAAATGAGATGATGTGCAACATCTATTCCTCTCTCTGTGCCATCAGTGTGCCTGAAAGCATCTTCTCCCAAGCATAAAGCAGATTCTACACTCATGTTATTGTCTGTTTTGTCATATACACACAGTAATGACAGACAAGGATTTCAACCTTTCAAGGATTTCTCCTTGAAATGTTGCATATAGTTATTATTTTGTTGCAAAACACTCTCTTTTATCCCAAACTCGGTGTCTCTCCTGTGACATTTGCTTTGGGGATGTCACAATCCATGGGAACTTGAAGGCCTTCCTGACAGCTTTGCAATTTGTGCATCAGAAGTGATTTGCTGCAGAGATTCCTCCCATCAAACACCAACAAGGGCTGTCAGACCTACCCCAAGGACTACATTTAAGCACAGTTCATCCAAAATCATGGGGAGCCTCAGGACATCAGCACCCTTCAGTGAAGTCCTCATTCCATCCAGGGACTGGACAATGATGGACTGGACAGAAACATTAACCTGGAAAACAAACTCAGGTCAGTTCTGAATGTGGGTATAATTAATTTTGGCTCTTTCTGTGTTATTGTATTCATGACCCTTCCTGGTTCTGTCCCACAGTCAGTAATTCTCTGAACAATTACTGTGTTACACATACTGCAGAAGGTCAACCAA